TGATGAGAACAGTGTAAGCGTTCAAGCAAACCACTTCTGAAGATGCAAGCCACTCGTGCTTGCGAAACGTCAAGAAGAAATTCTACTGAACGACGAGAATGTATTCCTCGCCCGAGGAATCGCATCGGAACAGTGTAAGCGTTCAAGCAAACCACTTCTGAAGATGCAAACCACTCGTGCTTGCGAAACGTCAGGAAGAAATTCTACCGAACGACGGCCTAAAAACCCACTAGTTTCAATTGTCGATAGAAATCCTAAATTGTTCTTCTTCAGACTGGTTTCTGGGTTATATGGAGGATTATCACTGGTTGGCCGGAGAAATCATACATCTCGGCTGTTTTTCCATGGTTTCGAGCGGCCCCGTGCCATGTAATTATTCGTCCATTCCGAATTCATTAGCATATCGTGGCCAACAATATATTTCCCTATGGCTACGTCCATCCTATACTTACAGCACATGAATCGTGGCTTAAAGTGCTTATTAACTATTTTATCCTCCACTTCCACGAAAGCCGTTCGCCGCTGTATTATGCTGAATGAAGACCCATCTATCACAGCCTATCGGACGCGGCATCTCTTCTTTTCTCGGCTTACCTAAACTTTTCTGGTTTCTTCTCTTTCTGGTCGGACCTACCGGCACGAACAAATTTGTCACATATGGAAAAAATGCGTATGCCGCAATACATGTGAGCAAGCAATATAGCCCTGCGAATGCAAAATATGCCAAACTAATAAAGACTAGTAAAGTAAGGAATGCGCTCCTTGGAAGCATCCAAAAGTAATCCCATCCTAAACTGTCGCAAGCAAAACCCGTTAATGATTCAGTTCTAAGCAATAAAACCGTAAACTAACGAGTCAAAAACTTCTTAATTTTTCTTATTATATTAAAGAAATTCAAGAGCGACCACACCTCCGAGCATACCCGCATATTTTATGGCATTATGCCTTTTTCGACCTGAAACTGTTGCATCAGATATTTTATTATGCTAATGAAGTTCGCCGTGGACAAGTAATTATATGGTCCCTGTACCATATAATACTGATCTTTTTTTGAATTCCAACGAACTTTCGATTAAAATCTTTCACATCCTTCTTGTCTGCCTTTATTGGTGAATTTAGGTTTACAATTTTTCAACCTGTTTGATACAAAAAATGGTACACTGGTGTCTTATGTATATGTATCATACACACTGTACCTATATAAAAGTATATAAAATAATTACAAGGCGTTAAATGTTAAGAGACCCAGTTTTCTTTCAATGGACAATTCTTAGTTTCTGTTATAGAACGATTCAAGTTAAGTACAAAAACTTAACTACTATGTACACTGTTAAAAATGTTCGAAACCGGAGATAAAGTGGTCCCCGTGTAAATTGGATGGTGCGTTCCGCAAATATGCGCGAGAGGTCGCCTACGCTCTCTGAGTTAGCACAAGTAGAAGAAGACGATGAAGGTTATATAAAATAACCTATAATTTTTTTTTATCAAAAGTCATTCGTATTTTCCATCACAAGTATATGAATTTTCAGTTTCGTGTGTGGAAAAAACTTCAATTACATTTGACTGAAAATCCAACCAGATGTTTTTAACAGTGTACTGAAGAAATGAAAAACATTTTTTTTAAATACTTGCATTTTTAAACAAAAGTGCACTGGGGTGGTTTGGCCTTTGAATTGAAACAAATTATCAAAAAATACAAAAACTAGAACTTGAACAATTTTTTTGAATATTTTTCTTATATTCTTTTCTTTCCTGGGTCTCAGTCAAAGTGTGCAGTAAAAATTTTGAACATCATTTATTTCATTAACAACAGCGCCATCATCAGATTTAAAATATACACAAACTCATAATTGGTAAACATTACGTTCTTTTAGGTCTTTGCTTCAAGACAGCACAGACCTATCCCATGTAGCATCATATATCGGGTATATATTTATACAATATTGGCAGAGCATTTTCATGTTGGGTCAATATTCTCAATTATTAGCCAATATTACTCCAATATTAGAATAGCTTTTTTGGCCAATATTGATGTATCTATACAAATACAATATTGGCAAAATATTTTTAATTTCCAGTATTGCTTGAAAATTAACATGCAATATTGTATAGCAATACTATGCCAATTAAACGTTTTCGATATAATTAATAATCATAGAATATTCTCTTAGTAGATAATAATTATTAATAATATCTTACGGTCTGATTTATAATCAAAGTTAAAGTGTTTATTTCTTAAAGTGTTAGAGAAAAATAGAAACAAAAAACCGGTTGCAAATCTAGTTGCGTACTATATTGAAAACTGCTTGTCGGATAAACTTTAGCAATCGAACTCGGCTACTATTATTTTAGGTTAGCGTTGTGTACTTATTTGTACCTACATAAATAGTAAATAGTTACATACTTCGATGTTTTGTGCCTGATTTTGTGCAATGATCTGTAACTCAACATGTAAGTACATATTATTATTACATAAATATAGTGATAGGTATCTTTTTGTCTACTCTTTTTAATATAATAAGTTCACAACTATTTACATGCCCTCATGTATATACATGAGGACATGTATTTGTTGTACAGTTGCTCATAATCCATACAAGCCGTACGTTTATAAAACTCTGAGCTTTATTCGAGTTTTGCTAATTTTGTAAGGTAAAATGAGGTACCACCGTACCAATGCCGGGTCTTATTTGAACTGCTTTGAAACTAGTTACAAACTGTTATTCTAAAGCTTATTAAACATATTTTTTATATTTAAACTCGCACAATCCTAAAAATAAATAATTATGTAAATAAGATTTATTGTATGCTACAATAACGAATGTAATCTAACAACTTACATAGAAAATTAAGTTTAATCTCCATTTTTTAGAAAATTTTGTTTCTGTAAAAATACATGTACTTGTAAAACATATACAAAGTCTGAATAGTGTAGCACAATGTAATATCAATTTCAGGTCGTCAAGATCGAAAAAATCGATGTATATAAAAAGGCAACTTGAGAAAGAAGTTATTACTTTAACTCCAGCTATTGCTAAAAGGCAACCCAATTTTCGCAATTGTGAAAACACTAATTCTGAAAGCTTTGGGTTAGAACTTCAGAGTGATGAAGCTTCTAATGATGCCTTATATGTTAACCGCCCTAGATATCAGAAAATATCGGATTTTCCCTGGCTAGTGCTGAAGATAGATAGGGTGGAAGAAAGTCCAGGCCGGTGAGTTTTTTTTTTCGTTTAATAATGGTTTCATACAAGTAGACAAGTAGCCATTATTTGTGTTGCAATTTTAGTAAAATCTAACTAAGTTTATTTTATTTCTAGGAACCGATATCAGTACAAAAATAAGATGTGCGTGTGATAAAAAATGTTTGTTATTCAATTAATATATGTGGGTATTGTTCAATTAATATGTGCATTATTTAATATTCTGATTCCTCACAAAAAATAATTGAAAATAATATGTCATTGTTAGGGTTGAGTATTAATTTAAAATCTCTTTTGCAGTCATACAATATCTTAATATTCATTTAAATTTGAAGTGAAAATGTTAGTCGGAGAATCGATCCAAACTCCAGAGGTGTGTCCGCCAATATTAAAATGTGAATGTATATATTTATTTTTAATTAAAATCGGATAATAAGAACCGATAAGATCCGATTTTAAATAAAAAGAAATATGTAAATTCACATTTTAATATTGGCGCAATAATTATCAACAATATTGAGCCATCCAGTATGTTGCATATAGCTAATATTGTACGAATATATTTTGCTACCTGGGATATAATATATATATAAAATGATGATGGCGGTGTGGTCTCGCCGAAACGTAATGAAATAAACGATATTCAAAATGATTGTGTGTATTGAGACCCAGGAAAGATAAGAATATAATAACAATTACACGCAGTCAGGAAAATAAATAAAATATTTTTCGCCAAAAAGGAATGTTTAGCAATACAACTAAATTTACTCGTAATCTGACACAGAATTCATGTAACTGTTATCTTGTTCTTCGACATTTTCAATTTGCGAACCTGCAGCTGGATGCTGGTCGTTGGTTTTTTCAATTTTGCGGCTAAAGAACTTTTGCAAATTCTCCCATTTGATCATGATGATCCGGTCCAAATTTAATGCGTTTGTTTGAAGATGTGATATGGACATTAGTTGAACGAGTTGAGTTAATCCATTCTGGAGCATGTGAGTGAGTAGTACATGTATTCAAACAACGAAAATTATTCATGAGAGAACTGAAGTTTTGCGATGGGATCGGCCAAACACGTTTTGGAGGGTCCAGATTTGGGATCGAGCGCAAAGTCCAAGTGATGGATGCGTCTCGACGGATCGAATTCATCATTTACCTACACTTAGCAAGTCTGCATGCAATTAGGCATTGATGATGACCAGAAAAGAACGGTCCTCCAGGTGACCAGGAGAAAGGCTGATCCGATACCTTTTCCAAGACCCAATCAAACTCCACTGATTTGTCACCTGTCCTTATCGAAGCCCAGCCTCTTCATATATTCCATGCGGCTTAGGAATTCTACTGGCAAAATCGTCGCGCAAACGCGCGATTCCGCACCGCCTTTCTATGACCCGATAAATTCCAACAATTTCCATGAGTTCATGTTGGAACCTGCTTCTGCACGCCGCACAGTGATAGCAGGCACCAGGTGAACGTACACAGCCGACAGACGACGAACTCTCGCGACGCTCGCAGGAATTATTCCTGATTTCCGACGTGCTGACTCAGTCCGACTCAGCGACATTCAGTTGCTTGCAGGCGTCTGCTGGAGTTGTTCGCGACGCCTGGTTCTCACGCCAACCCCGCGTGCTCCCTCAAAACGGCTCTAATCGCTCCAAGCCGGTCGTCATAGCTTATTGAGTTGTGCGTTGGCCAATTTAGCCAACTGCGAACCGAAGAACTGTCAGTTGTTGCTCTGCAACAACCACCGACCAATCGGCTGACGGTTGTAAACAGCGTTAAACGGACAATTGCTAAAGTGATCTGTAACGTTTCATTGACTGATTCAAACCTCTTCATCACGCATAATTTCTGCGTGGTCGCTCACAGCCAACAGTAAGTTTGATATGTTAGAAATGTAAACAGATCTTCCACTGATCTTTCGTTGATGCACGCGCTATACACAACTGGGGGTAGCAAGATGGCATGTTTTCAAACGTTTACTCGGTAAAATCTTCGAGTTGTAGTCGGCTGCCTGCCAATATTAATCGTAGGAATGGCAAAAGAGACCTGCCACGATAAAGTTTATGGCGGCAAAGTTCAAAGTCGCCAGGTTTCAGACCAAGGTTCGGTGATGGCGTGCAATTTGTTGATCTATTGTTTCTCGAATCCATTTTATTCATTACGTTTCACACGAATTCTTCATGTTAGAGTGGCAGGATCTAAATTTACACTTTTTCAGCCATTTAAGATGAGAAACGCATGTTCAAAACTCTTGTATTTGTGCTTTTTTAGAGAGCACGCGTTGCGGATAATATCAAAATGGTTTTTTGCATTGCACATTCCTCGTGTCAAGCTGGACGAAATTCGATAACCCTGAATGAGACCTTCCATGGAGTTTCAAAGTCAATCAAGTGGGCAACCAATTACTGTTTTTCAACAAGAATTTAACAGCTGTTCATCTAATGACTTCCAATGCCTACATGTAGCCGATCAACACCCTATATGTTACGCCTAATCTTTTTTCGGAACACTCGACTACTATTCCTGATAACCAAAAGGTATGGGGGTCATGCCCCCCCATTCAATTCTCTATCCAACGATGCCAAAACGAATTCTCTGGCTCGAATAGTTCTTGAGAAACCTCCAAAAAAGCAGCGTCATGTTCAAGTGGATTTTATAACCCAAAAAAAAACCACGCAAATCTAAAACTTCTTGAATTCAAGCCTTTTTTGAGAAAATTGCCAACATTTCCCCATCCATGGTTCACTTTATAAAAAGGACATTTATTTCTGTCTAGAATGATGTACAAATGAGCGTTCTTGCTCATTTTGCCTCCGAGAAATGAGCAAAAACGGGACGGAAAACATTA